CGATGAGGATGTTTCGCGAACAGTTTTAGGCCAGGGGTGTGAGGGTATTTCGTTGGCAGTTTTAGGCTAGGGCTGTGAGGAGAGTTCGCTGGCAGCTTTAAGACAGGGCGGCGAGGATACTTCGCTTGCAGTTTTAGGCATGGCAGTTTTGAGTGAGGGGTGTGAGGATAAGTCGCTGGCAGTTTTAAGCGGGGGCGGTGAGGATATGTCACTGGCAGTTTTGAGCGAGGGGAGTGGGGATACTTCGCTGGCAGTTTTTTTTTATCGGCGGCTGTGGGGATATTTCGTTGACAGTTTTACGCCAGGGGCGTGGGGATATTTCGCTGGCAGTTTTTTAAGCGAGGGCGGTGAGGATTCTTCGCTGGCAGTTTTCAGCCAAGGGGTGGAGGATATTCCACAGGCATTTTTAAGCGAGGGGTGTGAGAATATTGCGCTGGCAGTTTTAAGTCAGGGGGCGCTTCCTTGCCCATCCGAAGGCTACGCATCGCATCGCTGAGGCTTCCTTGCCAGGAGGCAGCAGCGCGTGCATCGGGCGCGCGTTGGATTCCGCGCGGATGCGCCGCGCGGTGAGATCAGAATGCGGATTCTGGGCGAGATTCATATCATCACGTGGTTGTACATGCTACCAGCGAGTGCATCTGCCAGGCTACTCCAGAACAGCCAGAACAGAGTTTTGCTGTGTTGGCGTTGGCCGCTTGCATACTCAAAATGTATGTCATGATTTCGACGTGCGCGTGCGTGTGGTTGGGGTATTTTTGGTTCGGGTTTCTTGAACGATTACCAGTTGATGTAAACGAGTGCGCGCACATGGTATCATCCGTCGGATGACGGGAGGGTGCCGATACCGGTTGCGCTGGGATGTTTTGCGATGGTATGGAAAGTGAACGGTGAGGCACATTTGCAGATACTTTGTATAGCCCACGTGCCGAAACAGTCCTTGGTATGTGTGTGGTTTGGGTCCATCCTTTGTTTAAACAGAGACCAAATGTGATGGAAGTAATACAGTCGGGGCGCTGAAGAAGAAACTCTTTTCGTTGGGGAGGGGTTCGGTGTTCCTTGATTGTTGTACAGTTTGCCTTGGGTGTTCCTTTTCGTGTTCCATGGGAAGTCAACTTAACTTGTGGGAGCAAGGGGCCTCGTTCCTTATTTCGGGTTCCTTAGGTCAACGCCCCGACTGCACCGTGCAAGTCTTGCGGTGCAAGCTATGCGGTGCAAGCTGTGCGGTGCAAGCGCGAGCCTGGCGGCCACGAGGCGGCCACGTGTCGGCGGCCACTCGTCGGCGGCCAGGGGGCGGCCAGGAGGCGGCCACGGGCGGCAGCGTTGCGAAAGTTCGATCCCCTCCAACAAAAAGGGGCGGGCACGGGGCGGTCACCGGTGGCCCGTGGCGGCCACGCGGCGGAATCTCGGCCCCCCCCTCGACTTGCTCAGGGACACAAGTGATAACACCCGTACGTAAGTCAGGTTTTGGGAGCGAGCTGGAATGCCGAGGCGGCAGAAGGGGAGGAGCAGGAACACCACGGGGAGGACAGCAAAGGATGAGCATGGACAGCTGGGCGATGGGGAGCATCAGGGGACGGAACAGGATGAAGATGATGGTAGCGATGACGCTGACGATTCTGGTAATGGTGGTGATGATGGTGGTGGTCGTGACGATGATGGCGACGACGGCGACGACGGCGGCAACGGCGATGACGACGAAGACGACGACTACGACGACAACGACGACGACGACAGCGGCGGCGGTGGCGGCGGCGGCAGTGGAGGCGGTGGCGGCGACGACGAAGACGAGGGCGAGGAGGATGGTGGTGGGGAGGATGATGAACATTACTATGGCGATAATGCTGCTGATTATGAGCACCAGCAGGGACAGCACCTGGAGGAGGAGGAGGAGGAGGAGGAGGAGGAGGAGGAGGAGGAGAAGGCGGAGGCGGAGGAGGAAGAGTGGGACGGGGAGGCGGAGGGTGAGGGGGGAGGGAGAGGGTTAAAAAGGAGGAGGAGGAGGAGGAGGAGAGGAACCATTGCAAACCCACGAGTCATCAACGATGTTTGGATAAAAATTACCTCCAAGCTCCGTATCACAGGCCCTTACAAGGATTGTCTAAGTGAGGGAAATGCCTCGTTGGGAGACAACCGTTTGAACATTCGGAAGCGTGCGAAGACATCGTTCTCGAGATTACGACGCCACGGATCAACCTTATTGTTGCACCTTGACGAAGTTGAAACACGCCTCTGGGGACCTCAATCAACACTGCGATTCGATGTAACTGCCGCGCCCCGACAATTTTGAATCGTTCCAAAAAGAAATTTCTGGTAGGGTGACCGTGGACCATGGGAATCCGCGACACGTATCCAAATGGTTTAGGCGATTGCGCGCGGTGTTACTGTGCGATCAACATTTTGAAAAGGAGCCGCCCTCGATCCGTGAAGCTCTTGCACAGTTCTTAGACGTGGGTGCGCGGCGCTAGTTCGAAAGCCACCTGTTGGAAACGACCCGCCTTCA